GGGATTACCGACTGGACTCACGGAATGTCAAGCGAACACCTGGACGACTGCCCACGCGATGGTCAGGCTTCTTCGTGAATGAACGAATGATAAGAAGTTCATCGTGTCCCTCGATCAGAGAAAACCACTGGGCGACTGTAGCACGTTGCAGGAACGGATGGAGACGTTACTGGTTCCCGCTCGAGGACTCGATGATCAACGGGAGCACATTTGATACAGATGAGGTGAAACCCCACTCAGCAAATAACTTCTGCGTGGGTAATGAGTGGGGTGTTGGCATTGGGTGCCTAGTGGATGAACTGAAGTGGAAATATGCATCTGCCTAAATTGTAGTAAAGTAAATAACAGGTAAATAGATAAATAAATGAACAAAAAGATAAACATATTGGGTACAAGTTCTTGATTTTAGGACCCCATCCCCTAGCCACGTATCGGAGCCGAGTTGTGAACATTCGCAGCAAGCACCAGCCATACAGTGCTCATCTCGCGCAGTACGGGTGTCTCTCCTTCAACTCATCCGGCAATAAGTTGCTGACCATCACTCATATTTACCACTCTCTAGGTGCTCTGAGATGCGTTTTGAGGACTTTCACTCTCGGCACCATTTTCGACAGTTTAATTCGCTATTGTCCACTAATACCTCACACCGAATGATCTAATTTTTCTCAGCTCTACAACCTGCAAATGGCGATCGGGGTGCTGCGCGCTCAAAAAAAGTATGTTGCGGAGTGATATTTGTGCCAGCATGTACAAGTGTGACTTCATACCTGTTCGGCTTTCCTCATCGGTGCGCTTTTTCTCTTTACTGTATCAGAAGGGGAGAGTTTCAAAAGCACGACCGAAGGGAGGTCCTTTGGTGGTGACTACCGCCCATCCTCTTATCGTGGACTCATAAATTCACATTTCTGTGCATAGCGGTGTAGAAAGTGTTCTCACCTGTACATTTTTATCATAGTAAACGAAAAGGTTATAAGCCGAGTATGCTGTGAATCCTACAATGTTCAGCACCAAGAAGTCGAAATTAAGGCCGACAACACTGCAAGACACTTATTCGTTCTGCTCCTGCTGAAGTACTGATCACTATGATTGCATACCTTTTTCTTTGGTAGTTCAAGACTATTTGAGGATAGAAGGAAACGCTCCATGCAGTAAAATACGACCATCCAACTATCATCACCAGAGCATTTACCAGTGAAGATTTCAGCACTGTTACACTTATAAAGAAATCGCTGAGTCTGTAAAAGAACGACGTTGGTGGAGGAACACGCCCATTCCGATAACGTCGGTGAACTCACATTGCCGGGCAGTCATCACTGTTGGCTGAGGAGCAGCCTTCAGGCTTGAGCACGAAGTCATTTGTAGGCTGCCTGCCTCGTAATTGCACACTTCCTGCTAGCGTTTTTGCTTCGAATTTTAGCGGGGTGAGAACGTCTACGTATGACTGCTTCTCGAAAGTGATTTCGGTGTCATTCTTGAGTGGCACTCTAAAAAGTCGAGGATTACTAGCATGACCTCTTAATGAATGAGGAGACAAAAGTTTCTCTACTCACTACTACAAAAAACTATTTGCAACAATCACCCACATATTCTGCGTATTTTAGGAATAAGTCTTGATGGGTAATAGAACTCATGCCTCACGATTACTTTTACTTTTTAGATCCCTCATTAAGCTATTCTATTCAGGTTAGCGGTTTTGTCTCTAATTTGTTAGAAATTCAGAGGGACGGGTAACTAGCGGAGAGGTGATATTTGCCCTGTCAACGGTGGGAGAAGATAGGGTCGCCTAAGGCTGCGCTCATACTTTGCGGCAGGATCCACCAACGCCTACCAGCGTCCACTAGCTTCCGAGCGTCCGGCAGCGGCAGCGGTTAATGAAGTATAGATATCGATCTAGCGCTTGCCAGCGTCTAGCAGCGTCTACTAGCGACCAGCCGCGGACTACTAGTAGAAAGTATGGGCGATAAGAGGGTGTACCGGCTGTTTGTTGTAACCCTTCTATCGCGCCATACTGTCTACAGCATTCTACTACTGTCTCCTTACCATGCCAGCTTGTCTGCTCGTCCCCTATCACCATACCTCTCCCTCCCCGGACACTACTGGTCGCTGATAGACGCCTGCAGACGCTGCCCGGACGCTGGGAACGTCGGTGGACGCCATTGGTCGCTGGTGGACGCTGCCGCAAAGTATGAACACAGCCTAAAGGAAACGAAGGATGACAAGGGCAGAGGCTAAAGCTCGAACTTCGCTCGTTTACTTTTTCCTCCAGCAGCACTTCTAAACTTTCGGAATCGTCGCCACGCCGCCGATCACCAAGTATTAGGGTGATAAAAAAAGATGACCCAATTTTTTGAAATTTCGAGAACTTTGGAATCTTGGTCGATATCGATGACCAAGCAAGTGGTAGTTGTAGAACATTCTCGAACCTTCTCCATAATGGGTATATAAAGCTGGGCTGCTTCCTATAGCTTTAGTCACGATGGCAGTCACACAGCTAATTCGACACGTCAATGGCTTCGAGTTACCGAGCGACGGCAAACCGTTCAAAACATCAACAGCACATTGGGAGAGGGCACCACTTCTCTTAGCACGGTCAAGCGCTGGTTCGCTCGCTTCGAAGAAGGAGACACGAACTTCGAAGATAAGCCTCGGTCGGGACGCCCCCACACAGTCGACGACTGTCGACCGGGCGGTATGCTGTACTACGAACTGCTATCGCAAGGCCAGACGGTCACCGGGCCCATCTACGCACGCCAACTCGGCAAACTCGCCGAAGCTCTTCGCGAAAAACGGCCGACGGGTCTCGGTCCACCTTCTGCACGACAACGCCCTACCCCATATAGCAAAGGAGACCCGGGAAAAACTGGGAGCTGGCGCCTCGGGGAAACTGTCCCTCACCCGCCCTATTCCCCTGACCTAGCTCCTTCAGATTACCACTTGTTCCGTCCCCTTAAGGCTTTTCTAGCTAAGAAACAATTCACCAAAGTTGATGATGTGAAACCGGCGGTGAGTGACTTCTTCGACTCCCAGTCTCCTCAGTTCTGGGAGAAGGGGATCGCTGACCTGCCCATTAAGTGGGAGACTGTTGTCACTAATAATGGTGATTATATTGTTGAGTAGCTTGCATTGTATGCTGAGTACTAAAATAAAGCAGAAAATTTTTTAAATGGGTCATCACTTTCTTATCAACCTAATATAACAATCTCAGCATAGATGTGCGTTACGGAAAGTTTCGTTTTTTTTTAGTTTGGCATGATTTTTTTCTCTGAACGTTTCTACATGAACGAGCACATCATCACACTGAGTTTATCCCAGTACGGAGACCTGATGTACCTGCTTGCGCTTGCCGTTTCGCGCGGTAGCGCAGTTTCGGCCGACCGCGCGAGGGACATTCATTTTTTCAGTGTCATAGAAATGTGCGCATGGTTCATGTCAGCCTAACATTGACGAAGACTGGAAACGCAGGACCGTGCAGACTGCTTCGCTGCCGAGCGACGCCAACCTGCCTCTCGCACCAGCCAGTGGTGGCCTGCAGTGACCCATTTTGCGTGAGAACAGGCCCGCGCCGCGCAAAACCCAGTCTCCCCCTCAAAGGCCAGCTCCCAGCGAACAGCGAACAGGGCTGTACAGCTGACATAAAGTCCAGCCTGCCGCTTGTGAATGAAATCCCGGCCACGCTTTTCGTTAATGCTATCGGTGCATCCGGTCTCGCATTTGTATGAGTGACATTCAAAACTCACTTGCTTCTAAGATTGTGAGTCTCGGGAACACCTACGAAGACTGTTAGCTGAGCTGGATCAACGGTGCTTTGCAGAGTTGTCTTGAAGAGGGCGAGAAGGATGAAAAGGTGTAATCGATTTGCTTGGAGCATCATTCTGAAAATATCAGTGAACTAAACATGCGGTTATAAGGTTTGTAACATCAGTCGGAGGTGTGAGGAGGGCAAAATAAGCCCGCCTCCAGCTGCCCTGCTTTACCAATAGCGATCAGCTAGTAATCGATTTAGGAAGAAAGCTACCTGTGGTAGGAACGCCGCAGGCGGGGTTACTCCGTCCCTTTAAAACTGACCCGACTGACAGCGACGATAAAAACTGTGTTTTCAACAAAAAGACAATGTTACACATTTGATAGCCCGTGAGATGACTCGCTTACATTGGGAACACATTGCACAATAACCATAGAGGCGGATCTCTTTGTGAACAAAGGAGGCAGATCCGTAGCAACAGAAGTGAGATTTTCGGCGCTTGATAACGCGTTTCATGGTCTCCACCCGCCACACGCCATACGACCACGTGGCACAAGGCGTTCGTCTGCGCCCTCCTACTGAAATAGCATTCGATGGGCTTGATCGAACTTGTCGAGGTCCCATTTGAGGTCAGTTTCAAATCCTATATCAAGCACGTAAATAACGAAGCCCGTCAAACATTATTTTGGTGAAGTTCTGCCGTAGAATTGCACCTATCAGGTGGCCGTGTGGCGTATTGAATGGGGGTGGGAACATGAGGAACACCATGCAATCGTTGAATCCTTCATCACCACTCACTTGCTTCTGCGAGAATGGCACACTTCTCTGGATCTGTCCACCTCGCATACGGACAATGCTCTTCGCCATGAGAGGTTCCCTCTCCAGCGAAGCTGAGCAACGTCACAATCTCTCGTCTGCAGTCTCTGATCGAGACAGCGTGAAATGGTTAGGTATGGCCCCAATGAAGTAGTTAGCGCGCAGTCACACCCGAAGGCAATCGTGCAACGTGTCTTTCAAGAGAAGGTTGGGAGCAAGATATAAAATACATCTTACTATCATGGAACAAAGGCCATAGTTAGAGAACAAAGACAGCGAACAAAGGAAATATCACACTGGATGATAAGTTACTGTTTTTACTGTTCTTTTACTGATTCGATGCAATGCGGATTCCGACCTCAACACGGGACCAAGTCGTCATTCACATTGTTCGCCGTCTGATGGTAGAAACTAGAGAATGGAATGAGGTCCTCCATTTGGCTTTCCTGGATCTGAAAAAAGCTTCGACCGAGTGCTGCGTCGACTCTTTTGGAAAGCTCTTCGACATCACGAGTTCCAGAAGCACTCATTAAGGCAGTTCCAGCTGACCTACTTGAACTCTACAACCTCCATCCGGACACCTGTCGGAGACACTCCACAGTTCCGGGTTGCTGTTGGTGTTCACCAGGGATCGGCTCTTTCGCCACTGTTGTTCATTCTATGTATGGACTACGCTACGAGGAACATCAGGAAAGAGCCGCCTTTGACGCTGGGATATGCTGACGATGTACTGCTGATGGACCGATCCAAAAGAAATTAGAACGGCGCGCTGGCCAACCGCTAGAAGAGAGAGAGAGCTGGCCAACCACGGACTCAGGCTTAACATGAAGCAAGACGGTATACATGTGCACCACCGCAACAACTTCGTCAGTCGTAGTCGATGGGACATCCCTCTCCAGAGCAACAAAGTTCCGTATCTCGGATCTACGCTGGCAGCGGATGGAGATGCCAAGGCCGACACAACTGCAAGAATCAACGCTGCATGGAACAAATGGAGATCTGCTTACTGGTGCCCTCTGTGATAAGACAAGAGGTCAGAGATCTACACTCCAGCCGTAGAACCAGCCGCCATCTACGGAGTCGAGACGAAGCAGGTGACGGCCGAGTAAACAACACCTATAGTGTTACGAACGTGAGAATGTTACGATGGAGCATGGGATATACACGACTCGACCGAATCCGAAAGGAAACCAATGACAAGATGAATGTCCAGCAGACTGCCAACTCCCTTGCCTCATCTCGTCTCCACTTGTATCGTTTAGCGAAGACCTGATGCTGTATCGAAGTCCGCTGATAAGATCATTTTAGTCGGGAAACGTCCAAAAGGCCGATCCTAAAATGCGGCGGAAGACAAACTGAAATAAATATGACTGCTGTTGGCCTATCCGCAGCCGATGCTATTTTCAGGGACCGGGAAAGCGTTGGTCAAAGAAACGTACCGAGAACAGTTATGGATAAGAACGCTAGGAAGAAGAAGAGGAAAGAGGATAATCACAGGGCTAATGCCGTTTGGACTCCAGCAATTTCGGCACCGAGCTCATTTTTAAATTGCCTCCCGCTGAAAACATGTACACAAGGGTTATTTACCATCGTGATTACAATTATGACACTCATTCTTGGCGCTGGCGCCAAGGGATGACACTACGATTACCTCCTGGGCTTAGCAGGAGCGCAGATAATCGTAGTGTCATCCATTAGCGCCAGCGGCAAGAGTGAATGTCATATTCGTAATCAGGATGTTGAACTACCCCTATATACAAGTTTTTAGCGGATTTGGTGACTTAGGCAATTTAAAAATGAGCTCGGTGCCGAAATTGCTGGAGTCCAAACGGCATTAAGCCAATAATACAGTAGGGGACGAGTGTCCTTCTTCTGGCAGCTTCTTGACCTTTCTTCACATAAAAATACGTAAAAGCCATTGATTCTTTTTCCAGCTGAACTGGATTATTGAGCTTTTTGTTCTCTAGGCAACCATCAATCGCGTTTTCTCTTCTCTCACGTATAATTTATCGAAAGGAAACCTATGTATAAAAGCAGGATATATGAACGCTTGTTGACCTTTCCCGGGCTCCAGTTCAACACTCTTCAATTGGGAAAAAAGGAAATAAGAAGAAAAAAGTGTTAATGAAAATACTCCAATAAAGGAAAGGTTCAAGTAGAGCAAGGATGGTTTGCTACGTCCCGACCTGAGTCGCAAAGCGTCGCTTGCCAACCTCCGCGCCGTTCTTCCGGTGACTGAGCGTTGGACGAAGCAGTGCGTTGATTCAAAAAGATTCAGGCGAAAAGATATTAGGTTGTCCGGAAAGTTCTCAGCGTTTTGTGCACCTAATCTTTGTACATTCACTGCTGATTAAAAACTCATTCTGCCTTGCTTCTCAGTAGCACATCCTGTAGAGAATTTCTTGCGCTATCTGATGATAATTGCCGTTTCACCATTGCTTGATAAACCCTCTTTTTTCAAGATTTTTTCAAGCATGTGAAAAGAGCACTTCGGACGATTTTTTTCTTCGGCTATAAATTGGGGCAATCCGCAATCGAAACAGCTCAACAAATTAACCAGGTGTGGGGCCAATAGTGCTAAAGAAAGCACTGTGCGGCAATGGCTCAATAAATTTCGCTCTGGAGATTTCAGCCTTGAAGGTGAGCCTCATAGCGGTCGACCTAAAGCAATATCTGACGAGGATTTTAGGGGGATTTTGAAGGTTGACCCATCCCAAACAGTTCGAGAGATAACGCAGGAGCAGAAGAGCTAGGCCTTGGCAAATCCACTGTTGCAGATGGTCTGGAACGCATTGGGAAGGTGAAAAAACTCGACAATTGGGTGCCCCACAATCGGAGTGACCGGCAGGAATCGGCACGTCTCGAGGTTCCTTCTTCACTGCTTTTGCGCAAAAGAATTGACCCGTTTTTGAACGGATTTGTCACCTGTGATGAAAAATGGATCATGTATGATAACAGGAGACGTTCCGGACAGTGGTTGGATTTGGAGGAACCACCGAGGTAATTTTCAAAGCCGAACCCTCGCGAAAAAAAAATTCTGGTCAGGTTTGGTGGTCATCGGCTGTTGTAATCCACTATAACTTTTCATCACCAGGCCAAACCATCACAGCAGAACCCTACTGTGAACAAACCGACCAAATGTACCGAAAATATTGTCAGCTGCAGCCAACACTTATCAAAAGAAAGGGTCCGATTCTTTTGCATGACAACGCCCGCCCACACGTTTCACAAATCACTATCCATAAATTGAACGAATTGGGAGTTGAAGTTCTACCTCACCCACCATATTCTCTAGACCTTTCACCAACCGACTGTCACCTTTTCAGACATTTTCAGAACTTTCCTGCTGAGAAATACTTCATCAAACAGGACCAGGCAAAAAAGACCTTCGCAGATTTCGTGGATTCTCGACCACCCAGTTTTTTTCTTTGATGGGATTTCTCGACTGCTGCCACATTGGCAAAAGTGTGCTGATTCGAATGGTGCTTATTTGGATTAAATCCGATGAGTGTTAAGAAAGTTATGATCGTTTAAAGTTAAACACCCAAAACGCTAAGAACTTTCCGGACAACCTAATAGAAACTCCGAGCGAAAGAAACGAGAAAAGGAAATTAGAAAGACAAAAAAGCTTGAGAATACTTGAGAGTGGAATGCCGCTCTGTGTCTTTTATCGGAGTGAACTTCTAGTTGTCGCCACAACCATTTCGAGGAGGAAAAATACCATTCAAAGGCAGTGTAAAGTGCAACACAAGTAAGCTGGTTTAGACACAAGTTCCCAGAAACAGAACTGGCTAGAGGAGAAGGATGAGTTGCAAGTAAGTTCATGACTAATGCTAAAGGCACTCCCGAAAGGAAGTACGAGAAAAAAGAAGGCAGATGCCGTCCGAACGCCACGAGCACGCTCAAATTGTTCGGAGAACGCTTGAAGAGATAGGACTTGCTGGATCTTCTTTTCACTCAGTTCATATTGTACTGGATTCAGAATCGTGAGTCCATGTGAATGCATGCTTTGGAGGAAAAAAATGCAACAGAAGCACATCTCCTTTCCCTGGACCCCACCCGTGCAGAAGCCACACTTTGACATTGGAAGCCGCGATGCTTTGCACGGAGAGAAAGTTATTCCCAAGTTCATGTAGTCCAACTATCATTAGTTTTATCGAGTTATTTTCATGAAGGCGGAGGTGGTGTAGTGACAAGTGGCGCGCTTACCACTCGCGCGGTCCTGGGTTCGAATCCCAGGTCGACACCCGCCCAGGCCAACCAGCCTTCTACCCTCCGGGACGGTAAATTGGTACCAGATTCGTCTGGGAGGA